GCGACGTGGTATTTTTACACCATCAGTATAATTTATCCACATTTATATTTTGACCTACTTCTCAGTCTAACTGATTATATCCCACACGTGGCGGAGTAACAATGGTGAATCTGCTTCAAGATGGCAATAAATAAAAAATATGGCAATAAATAAATAAAAAGTAAATGACTTTTAGGTGCAATATGTGATCTGCCGGAGAACAAAGCAACCGAAAGTTAATTATAAGCTTTTCTTTTTTAATTAACTGTAATTAAGCTTTTAATTTAAAGCTCTTTACTAACAAAGTTTTGTCTCTACCTGTCGCTGAGAAATGAACAATGGGTAATTGCTTCATCTTACAGTTTTGTAATCACACACAACAATAGAGCTTTTATGTAAGTTTGTGTTTTACTGCTGTATTCCGATGCTAGCTGCGTTTTGGAGAGCGCAATATGAAAGTAAGGAAGAGTCCACAGCTAAATAAGGATTTCATTTATTTTTGTAAATGGACTTTTGTTACATTGTGCTTCATTTACACTATAAATGTAACTTCTCGGCCTGCTCTGATTTGTCAGGCTTTTGTCTTTCTAGTTACATTCTCAATGCCCAATTCAGAGAAACTGTAAAAAGTCAAAGAATGTATTGCCACATCTGCCTTGAGTGCGTTTTGTAACGCAGGCTAATACGAGATGCCATGACTGTACCTCCATGGATCATAAGAAAGCATGCAGAAAAAATGCTTCCTTTTTTTTTGAAGCTGGAATTAAAAGGTTTTGAATGGAAGAAAAAGGAAAGTAGGCTTTCAAAAACAGTTAGGAAAGTATTTGTCAGGGAGAACTTAGGTGTCGTGTGGTTTTCAGTGCACGGGGCTAGACTCTTGATTGAGGGTAACTTTTTAAGTTCTCTCTAGACTTGTGTTTCTCTGAAGAAAAGTTGTTAGAATACAAGTTGTCAGAAGATTTGGCTGCACACGGTTAGGATGCCTGACCATGAACCAATGTTTTATGTACATTTTTTAGTCCTCCTTTTCTCTTTTTAGTAGCAAAACTAATGAAAGTATCAATATGTTGATGGCTAAAGAAGTGTTTTGAACCATATTTTAAAAATCAACAGTTATTTTAATCGGGTTCTTTTTGCATCTTCCCCAAAATGACAGTAGCAGTATTCTGCTGTTTTCACCATTACATGTTGTTTCCTTTTGGAAAAGAGATCATGGGAATGTTATATCCACAAAATATAATTGGTTGAGTGTCCCAGTGTAATCTGTGTGAGCAATTATATTTGCTTGTTTTTAAAAAGCATTTTTGATGTTTTTTTTGTTGAATATTTGCTATTCATAGCTTGCCCTGCGTTTTTTTTTTCAATATTCTATTTCAAATCTTGTAGCATAACACATATTAAATCACTGTCTCTTTTTTTTTTTTTTCTTTTTCCCTCTCCAGTTTCCAGATGCTGTATGCAGATTGCTATATGACCCGTGAGGAGTTCTGGGATATGTTTGATGGTTCGTTATACCACAAGCTGAGGGAGCAAATGAGTTGCAAGGATGCCTTTCCAGAAGTGTATGACAAAATCTGCAAAGCTGCAAGGCACTGAGCCTGAATGATCTAATCAAGCAATCAGGGAAAGATGAATTTACCTATAGCTAGTCAGTATATCCTTTAAAAAAAAAAGCTTTATTGCTTTCCAAATAAGCTCATTCTTGTTGATGTTTAAAGGTATGAATTCCTGCTTTATAAATTTATGTTTAGTATTTCTTTGTATGTTTTAAAACCAGTTTTCCAAACTCAAAGTGATTGGTTTTAAGAACTCTTTAAGTGCTAGCCTTTGTATCTAATGTTGTGACAGAGGTCAATTCGCCTATTTCCGAGCATAAGAAAAATAATTGGGAAGGAAGAAGATACTGGAGTTACACCAGCTGTATACTGTAGCTATATTTAACATAACTTATGAAAACGGAAAGGTAAAGCGCAGAAATAGGTGCCAAAGCTGAACGGATTGCCAGATTAATCATGCTGTTGAAAACATTTGCCTCCAGTCTGTAACGTGTGGAAGAGCTTAGCAGTGGTACCCTCATCTTCCGGCAGTTAGGGCGCTGCGCGATGTCGTGTGGTACCACGCACTGCCTGGGCTATGCCATGCTATAAGCAGTTAAACTCCCCCACAGCGGCTTCTCTTTCAAAACCGAGCATCAAGGTGTGAAGAAAATGCTTTTTACTTGTGCCTATCAGATTCATACTGATTTTGATTATGAAGTGTGAGCGGATATAGGTTTTCAGTACTCTTTAATTGGTTAACAGTGCGTTGGGTTTTGCCCCAAAATATCAGTGTTCTGGCTCCGTAGACTACTGAAAAAAATGCTGCTATTTCATATAAGCAAGTATTCGTTTCATTTTTTTACTCTTTTGAGTCAGTTTATTGGGATTTTTCTTCATTTTGTGTTTTGGGTTTTGGTTGTTGCTTTATTTTCAGTGCCTTATTTGGAGGAAGACATGGATTATTTCAGACTGTTCTTTCCTGGCGAGTAGGAACAGGACGTCAGGGCTTTGTTTATACGAGGTTCGTTAGAGCAAGTGGCTGTGGATAAGAAGAACTCTTGTTGTGATTCTTGACACACACAGGCTTTGGTTTTGACTTGAGTGACATTTTTCCTTTTTGTTTTAGCTGGATTGGATTGATAGGCTTTGTAAAAGGGCTGTTTCAGTCACCTGGAGAGGAAATCAACAGCAAGTGCTGTTCAGTTCCTCTTCTGCTGCTCGCAGGTGAGAACGGCGCAGTCACAAGCTTCACATGGTCAAGCGTAGAAGCGTGGAAACGTTTTGGCCCTGTAGCCAGAAACGGAGTTCCAGACCAAGCCCATGTCTTGTCCAAGCAGTACCTTAAATTGTTACTTGAAACCTTACTGAGCTTGAGGGAAAAGAAAGTAGTTTTCTTGAGGCTTGCATCAGGGGTGAGATGAAGAACTTTTTTAAACAGTTACTAGTGGGAAGCGTTGTGATTTTTATACGAGTGCTAAACCAATGATTTTATTTATTGATACATGGATGTTTATGGTCCAGATGAAACCAATGATAAAGCAGTAACAAGAATAAGTTTGGCCTGTTACTCAGCAATGCACGTTGGGCAGATCGTGTGCACAGAAGGTACCCCGTAAAATCCCGCGCAGGGGACGGGTAGCAGGGGCACCTGCTGAGGGGAGACACAGCCAACGCAGAGCGCCTGCAGCGCTGCCCAGGGCACCCAGCCGGGCAGCAGTTGGAGCTGTGTCAGTGATCCAGGAGCATCTGCTACACGTTTCGAGGCTTTGGGGTACACAGGAAGGCAAACGCTGATTCTCAGGGGTGAACCTGCCTTCCTGCCCGTGCGAGGGAGGCGGCACAAGAGTCGTGTCCGTGTCTCTGGGGCAAAGCTACGATTGAGCCCGGTGCTTGTAAGATAATCTGCACAGAGCGAGAATGGGTTTGGTTAGCTTTTAAAGGGCGATGTTAAAACGGCTAGAGGATATGCAAATAATTTTACTTGGGCTGTGTTTCTCTCACTTATGTGCTGATGATCTTTAGGTATGCACTGCATTTGTTTTTTCACTCCTTCATTTATTGGCAAACTTTGTATGACGTGATTGGGTACTGTAACTGTATCAGTATCAGTCACAGACATGCACATGCATAATTGCTGTTGCTCTTAATTTTTGGTTGTATGGGCTGTTTAAAATAAAGACCTAGCCAGCGTATGAATGATGACTTACTTTTCAACAGCTGTGTTTATTGCTTCTCATGCTTACTGTATTGTTACAAATGGTCAGCGATTACTGAAAAAAGACGCTGTCTGGGTAAGAGACTGGAGGCATTTCGAGGTGGTTGGGAGATGAGGAGCCTAGTGCTGCAAATAGCTTTGAAGGAATGTCTTCCAGTCTAAAAGTCTATGCTTATCTCTGCCCCAAGGCACACCTGTACAAAACAAACATCATGTAGCTGAGCCTTAACCCTTCAGTTATGTCCCCACGTAGCCTCATGATACCAATTATCCTGATTCCCCCTCCCCTAACTTCTTTCCTTCATGATGACATTTTGTCTGAGGAGGACAAAACCCCATTTCGGATTTAGGTGCTACAGCCATTGACATGGCTAGCTACTTCATTCTTCTCACTTTGCACTAATAAATCCAAGCCCTGGTTTGAGCGAGCAGCCACAGAAGCGAGGATGAGGATTCAGTGTCCTCTTCAGCCTGAGGAGTTTCACATCCACATCTTTGGTTTCCTTGAAAAACACCTTTGCAACAGCTCTGTAGGCTCAGTCAGAGGTGTTCCTGCTCCTCCCTCAGTCACAGCTGGTGCATCCTCTTCCAATGCTCTCTTCCCAGAGAGAAGCTCCCAAGCTTTTTCCTGAAATCCTGGCTATCAAATGCCTCAGCCCCTCTGAAAGTGCAGATTGTTCCTCTAGAACAATCAGCAGGATTTCCTTCCATCACTGCAGTTTTACCTGTGTTCAGTTATCTCCCCCACCAAAGGATAATTGCAGATTAATTAGCATACTTAATCAGCCACAACTAACGTGTAATTACACCTAGATTTAATTATTCCAGTCTGGTCTAAACACTAATACAAGACTTCATAATGGTTAACTCTAAGTGAACCAGCATACTCTCAGCACATTTTTATGTTTCTTGCCACTGATAACAGCTCTCTCCTCATTTTCACTTTCTCTGTCACTTCTAGGTTTTAATATCCTACAAAATGGGGAACGACGACACTAAATTCCCCCTAATTCCCTCCAGCTGCTTATAAACATTTGCATTGTTAATTCAAGGTGTGTCCTTTTTATAAAGGCCAAGGTGCAAATAATGACTTACTCAACAGAAAAGTGAGACTGCTGATTGTCTGAGAGAGTTTTATTGCCACAGAACAAGACTCGAGTTGTTTCTGATCTCGACTTGCATATCATCACGTTGCGTTTTCATCTACCCCATCTCATCTGCTGCTGCACCTGCCGTTTACTCACAGATTTGGGCTTCCCAGCACCATCTTATGTCTGGAGAACAGCAGGGATTTTATCACAGGTATCTTCGGAGGTATCTGGACAACGTGGAGCAGAAATCAAATCACTCCAGTTATTTTTAACAACCGGCTTGAGCTGCTCGCTGTGGAAAAAGGATGTGATTCAGTGGGCTCAAATAATTGGCTGGATTAATCTCATTAGTCTTAATGAGCATGGAGGTGAACAGAGCTCTTAAAAGCGTGCCTGTTCCCTAGAAAGCACAGCTGTAGCTTGAAAAGTGATTTTGGAGCTGGTGCTATTTGATCAGAGAGATGCATTTGAATTCCAAGTCCTGCTCACTGTTCAGATTTCTTTTTT